CTGTCCTGTTCCTGGGGAGACGTGTGAGCCGGTGAAATCTCTCCTAGTCGGATGTGGGAACGAAATGCTGGTCTACATGTGATGATTCTTTTCTCCTAAGATACTTAAAGTACTTTTCAGGTAATGGCTCACAAATTACTCGAACATCTTTGTGATACGTGTCTGTGGCAGATATTATCTCCATTTTAGCATCGAGGAGAAAATCGAAGCACAGAATCATAGAACAACTCAGAGCCTCTTGGGCTCCTGGGCAGCAGACTGATTTAGCAAAGGACCATGCATTAAGTTCAAAGACGGGCTTATCTACAGAAAGGACTTCAAATGCAATTATCTACTAGGGACAAAATTAAGACATAAGTGTGTGTTAAACCCAGAACGGAGTCCTTTGCATTGCTGATTCTCAATAAACATTAATTGACTGCAGTAACTGTAAGAATCTGCTTGTTCTTTGCTTAGGAGCCCATCCCAGACCCACTTTGGACATTGAAACTTCTTTCCAAGGCCAATAAATTCTTACTGAAGTATTTTGTTCACCTCTATTCAGAAAATAAAACCATTTTTTGTTCCTCTGGCAAAAATTCAACCAGAAAAAAAAAAAAGCGCTTTATAAAAGAAACAGAAAAAAGAAATGGAGCATGTCTAGTTCCTGTGATGCATAATTAACCAGGTACCTCTTCACATGTGTGTGTGCTTATTCATTTAATTTTCCAGCTCTCCTAGGAATCCAAATGTAAAATAGAGCACTTGGGAACAACTCACAGACTTACAAGGCACTCTGGGGAATACAAGGTCTATAAACTGACACACCAGCCTCATCCGCAGCCGGGTGCGAAGTACTTTTACTGCCGCAATATGGACCACAGTGTTTCTAATACAGAAATAATTTGGTATCAGTAACCAATATAACATTGGCACCGAAACGTCCTTCATTTCCCTTAACTTCTTCTGGCCTGTAGAAAAGCAAATGCAATTGAGTGGAAATTGCTTTTCAAGGAGTTGTGTCTGCACAAGAAATGTGAAGCCAGGGACTCAGAGTCCATCTCGTCAAACCAGGCCCAACACCAAGGACTTTCTATTTGAAAACGTGACAGAGTTCATACGGTGGCTTCTGGTGTTGAATTTAGATGATTTTGCAGTATAATCATACTGAATACAGTTTCTACAAAGCCAATAATCAGGGGTGCAAAAATACAACCTTTACTTTTCCTACCACTGAACTGAACTTTTATCTCAAGCTCCCAGTCTTCTCTGTGGCAGGAAGTTAATCTTCCTAACTTAATTCAAATTATTAATTCTTCAGTCATTTCATGGATAAAATCAGACAAATTCAGGCTTTCCCTTCATTCTCTTGAAATGGCAGTGTAGTTCTGTGTGTTTCTGTGTGTCAGGCATTGGGGAGTGAGGAGCTCCTCCCTTGGCATCCGCTGAGGGCACCCCCACCTGCAGGTCTTGGGTAATTGGCCACCATTTCCACAGCATACCCTTCCCTTGTGCAAGTGTGCATTACGGCCCCCAGCTTTTCCATGCTGCTCCTGCTTACACCAAACCCTCGTCACCAACCTCTCTCACCCATCCACAACCCCCTCAGGGACACTCAAAATTACTGTGGGCTCTTCTCTGGGCTTAGGGAGACTCCAAACTATCAGAACCTTTCTCACCTAGACTGGGCCAGCTGCTCTCTCTGCTTTGCTGATGCTTCAGTATGTTCGTGAGGTTTGCTACATACTCGGCTTCACCCAGGAAGTGAGGCACACGTCTTCCTTTCCCTGCGAACTCTCCAAACCAAGCTGAGCTGTCTAATATCTTCACCCAGGGATTGGTCACTGCTAAAAAAGGACTCCAGAGCCAGACTGCTGAATACGAACACTGGCTCTGACACGGTCACTTTGGGTCTATCACTTGACCACTCTGTGCCTCAGTTTTTTCATCTGAAACACGAGATCTATCTCATAAGGTTGATGAGAAGAGTAAATGAATTTTAAAAGAAATGCACTTAGAGTAATGCTTGGCACATAGTTAAGTACTAGATGTGTTGGGTACTGTTACTGCTGTTAGTCCATGATGGAGGCTGGGATGGGGCATCCCTGCTCCTAGAAACATATCAGCACCCCCCACCCAGCCTTTTAGGACAACTAGTTGTCACCCTCATGCTGTCTTTCCAAATCTATTGTCTCTTATATGAACTTTGTGCTCTGAATCCTTCAGTCTCTTAGCCCTCTGGATCTCAAAATACCTCTTCTCTTTCAAAAACCTGAACTTCTGCAATTTAAATCCTTCACTCTGCTGTAGATATCAAAAAAACTATTGCACTACTGGAAATTCGAAGTCAAGAATTTGTCTTCTGCACTTTTCTCTACCCTAAGATAATAACCCTGAGCCCTGTGATCAAGTATATATGATGGAGAAATTGTAAGCTAAAAAGTTAGCATTTTTTTAATTGAACTGCTAGTCTGATCATTTTGTGGGGAGAAGAACAAGGAGGCTAGACTGGCCATGCCTAGTCCATGCTTCGAATCCTGAGAGCAGTTAAGCTAGCCAAGGCAATATCCCACTAAACTAATTACTGGAGGCAATTCATGTAAAAATGCAAAAACACACCAAAACAGGTGCTCTGTAGCCATATGCAACAACACAAAAACAAGCCATACCCCCAAGACTCAGCTGCTATCAAGACTATTAGAACAAAGCTGCTAATGGATTTGCTGAAAAATTAAAACTAGTAATAATTCTGTTCTCACAAGAGCTTTGTCCTGAGCACAGCTGACATCAACCTTGAGAACTAATGGTTAACTGATTTAAGAAGGATCCTCTTTAAAGCATGGATTTCCCATTGGGATTTTCATTTTAAGCTCTAAATACGTTTTTGGTTACTGAACCAGATCCTCTGGCATTAAAGTACATCCCCAGTGCATACTCAGAGATATATGGCCTCTTCCAGGCCACTAGAGCAATATTTGATGAGTTATGACCCAGGTTACACGAGGACATTACTCACCCTGAGTCCACGAAAACATCTGTTTGGCTCCACAGGCTCTAAAGTTAGAGCTTAAAGTCAAGTCTTCAAAGGCCTTTTTAAGAAACACTCAAAGGACACCACCAGGCATTTTAAATCAACCCACATGCATTTGAACTTCAAGTGGTCAAACTTTGCGTGAGAAAAGATAACACCTTTTTCTCAACAGTTCTACTCTACTTCAATACAATGTTCTTCCCATAACGTGCTTTCAGTATCAGCTTTTCAGGCACTAATGAATCCACAGCCTCAGCTCAGTGGTTACAGCTGAGTTCTTTACGATAGATGAGAGGCAGGATACTTGAGAACGCCCCAGGCAGGGAGCTTTTAAAATCTCAGATTCATTTATATATGGAAATAGAGGCTGTCCCATGTTTCTGTAAAACCACTAAACTATTGATCATTTTCGTTGGCATCACTTTCATTCCAACAGTCTCAGAATGATATTAAATGTATAATTAAATGACTGCCCAATTGTTTGGTTTCAGATAATGGTAATAGCTCACACTTACAGAGGGTTCATTATGGTCTACTCACCATACCAAGCTATTTGTGAATATTACCCAATCTGGTACTACAAACATTGCCATTTTACATAAGCTTCATGAAAGTTTGGAAACTTGTCTAAGGTCACCCAGCTCATCATTGTGTAAAAACTTAAAGCAAATCTTTACAAAATATGAATATTCTTATAAGACTGTAAGAATATCATAAAATAAGAATTATTTCTCAGTTCTTAAAAAATTCTTGTTTAAAAAAGTGAAGTCCCATTACATAAACAATGAAAAATTAAAAACCATTAAATTGAACAAAACATTTTGTCATAAAAACAATTAATTTTGTACTGATATCTGCTTCTTAACAGCCCATGCTTAAAATAATCCAAGTTTTAGAGTTTCCCAAAACTTGATTTGAACAGAGTAATTTTTTATTGTACATTGTACTTGGATTAAGTGTTGACTTACTGTCACTTTCATCCATTTTTCACTCTTTGATAATATTATGTTTGAGTAGTAGTTCATTTTTATGCCATTAAAATGTAGAAACACTGTAAATTCATACAAAATGTCATATGTAATGTTGTAAAAACTTCCACAGCTTACGTCTAGTGAGGTACTTATAATAATTAACTTCATTATGGGGCAACTTTTTTTTTTTAGATTATTTATTTATTTATTTGAGAGAGAGAGAAACAGCATGAGAGGGGAGAGGGTCAGAGGGAGAAGCAGGCTCCCCACCGAGCAGGGAGCCTGATGCAGGGACTCGATCCCAGGATTTCGGGATCATGACCCGAGCCGAAGGCAGTCGCTCAACCAACTGAGCCACCCAGGCGCCGTACACGGGGCAACTTTTATTACATGAATAGATCTAAATGATAGGGTTGCTTTAGGGGATCAGTTGGCATGGACAGGGCATGGACATTATATGATGTAAGTTCAAAATAAAGTTTTTAGGAAAAACTTGTAGGCAAAGAAGTAGCAGATGTTATAAGCTTCATCCTCTTGCTATCCTGCAAAGGAGGCTATGTTGGGTCCCACACAGCCAGGCCAGCCATGGAAAGTGCACCAAAGGAAGAACCCACTTTGCATAGTTACAGAGGCATTGAAAGGAGCCAGGAAAGATCTCCATACATATGAAATGATGGGAACTCTATGGCAGATGAGATGGCCGGTTAGAAAGAGGGACTCACCTGTGGCACCTGGGTGGCTCAGTCTATTAAGGGACCGACTCTTGATTTCGACTCAGGTTGGGATCTCAGGATCGTGAGATGGAGCTGACCCTAAGCCCCTCCAGGAGCCTCAGGTGGGGCTCCACATTTGGCTCCATGCCAGGCTCCACATTGGGCTCCACGCCCAGCACAGAGTCTGCTTGAGATTCTCTCTCTCCCTCTCCCATTGCCCCTCCCCGTGCTCACAGTCCATAAATAAATAAATAAATAAATAAATAAATAAATAAATAAATAAATAAAATCTTTTTTAAAGAAAGAAAGAGGGACTCACCTGAGTTCCACCTCTGGCATAGCCTACTCTTCTGAGGAGCTGTCATGGACCCAGAACCAATGTCCAGAGGGGCAGGAGTGAGCCTCCAGAAGTCTCTGGAATTGTATATCTTCAGGATTCAAGGGAATATTTTTCGCAGTTTAGTCTCAAATAGGAACAACTTCGTATATGTTAAAAGGACACAGTAGCCAACTTGAAGGGGCTCCTAATAGTCAGATCTGAGACAATTTGAGCAACAACAACAAAAAAGGAGAGTATTGGGTTATAATCCATGGACTGAAATAAAAGTCCAGAGTTCATAGTGATATAAATAAATTGAACACATACATACATTAAGTGAAGAGAAATCTCTTCCATACAATAGATTTTCAACTAACAAATATTGGTTGAAGGAATCATGAAAATAGAAAGTCTAGTTGGCAAACACCACAGTAATAATTGTTTCAGATAAGAATTGTTGACAAATGCTAAAATTTGTAGGTGAAAATTTTATGAGAGCTAGGATAATTACAGTCTCAAAGTATCTATCTTTCCATATGATTTGTATTATTTACGATGGGGATAAGAGTAACTTTTTGGAGAAACCTGACAGACCTTCTCCTTCAACAACTGATTAAAGTTATCACCAGTAATGGGGCAAATTAATACTCTGTGCCTCTCAATATGATGCATTGAAAAAGATACAATATCATGTATCCACATGGTATTCTTGCCAAAAATGCATAATCTCAATTTAATCATGAGGAAAAAATCAGAAAAATGCAAATTGAGTTACAGTCTACAAAATAACAAGTCAATACTCTTCAAAAGTGTTCGGGTCAATGAAAAGCAAAAAGCAAAACACCAAAGAACTTCAGGAAGCACCATCAGAGCAATACTGTTGGCCCTTCTCAGTTCCTCTGCTGTTCCAAGATGCGGACAGGCCCCGCTATGGGTGGGAGGGAAGAACAGCGACAGCAAGGTCGCTCTGTGCTGCCTGTGGCTAGGTGGTAAACCTGCCTACTCCCAAACAAAAACATTAGCAACACCTGGAGCTATATTCTCCAACAGCTTTATCAGTTATTAAGCTGACATTCTGCTTTCTATCAGTCTGATTCCTGGACTATTCTCAATAGGTCTGAACCTAGACAGAAAAGAGAGAGTGTTATTTATGAGTAGAGTGACCATATACTTTACTGTCCAAACTGAGACACTTCTGAGAAAGAAAGGCAACACTATTAATAACTACTCCAGGACTACAGACAAATGTGGGACTTGTCCCTGGCAAACTGGATGCGTGATCACCCTTATTTATTAGCCCAGCTTATACATGAGCTTAGATGTTGAGAATTAGACCTAATGAAATTTAGAGAGAAAAGTAACACTCTGAGATTGATGGACTGGCTTAGTCTTTAGGCTTTTTAGACTTTCCTTTTACCCTTTCATTGTAAAATAAAACACAGATACAGAAAACCACACATACGTGCATTGCTTAATGAATATCATAAACACTCTTGTAACTATCATCTATGTCAAGAAATTGCCCTTTACCAACCACTCCAGTAGCTCATCCACATGCCCTACCCCAACACAGCCACCTCCTTCCCTCCGAAAGTAACCTCTCTCTTCCCTTAGTTATCACTACCTTATATTTCTTTTTGGTTTTTTGAGACTCAATAATTTAGTCTTGCCCAGTTTCAAAATTTTTAAATGTCATTTAAATCTCTTTTAATCTACAGAATTTCCCCTCTGTTTTTTTTTTTCCTCACATTTTATCCGATGGAAAATTCATACCATTTGGCCTGGTTTCCCACCATCTGGGTGTTGCTGGCTCCACATTCGTGGTGCAGTTCAACATGTTCTTCTGTCCTCTATATGTCCTGCATATGGCAGCTGGATCCAAACGCTTGGTCAGACTCAGGCTCAATCACTTTGGTAAGTCTGTAAGTGGTCATGTTATCTCTCTTTTTGTGATGTTAACAGCCATTGACACTCTTTGCCAGATCCATTCATTCACTGGGAGTAGTCAAATGGTGGTATTCCACTTCTACATTTTATCTTCATTTATTAGCTAGGATATTTTTATAAACATGCTTAACTCATCTACTATTTAGTTACCCAGTGTAACCACTGATATAGTTTGTGTAAGAAATGCTTGTTTCCCTTTTAAAAAAAGTTCTAAGATAGTTAATCAGCTCCCCATCATCTTCTGAATATTATCAATAATTTTACATCACTATGAGCTCATTAATTTAAACATATTATGTGAGTTCCAACTCACTGAGTTTCTTATCCTTAATTAACCTCAAATGTCCCATCTTTGGCCAGTGGAGTCCTCTGCAAGTTGACACTATCCGGGGTAGTCTTTGAGAGCCATCTTACTGTTTGGTATGACAAGATATTCTAGACTCACCATGTACAAGAGGGATTTAAACTAGATGATTTCTAGACATCCTTCTAGCTTTACAATTTTGAGACTATAACATCTTAAATTAATTGGAAACATTCGTTTTTAGAGTATATCATATAATCTTTCCATTATAATTTTTTACCCTGTTATGGCATTTATCAAAACTTTCCACGTATCAGAATTATTTTAGGAGGGGCGCCTGAGTGGCTCAGTCGTTAAGCATCTGCCTTCAGCTCAGGTCGTGCTCCCTGCTTGGCGGGAAGCCTGTTTCTCCCTCTCCCACTCCCCCTGCTTGTGTTCCCTCTCTTGCTATGTCTCTCTGTGTCAAATAAATAAATAAAATCTTAAAAAAAAAAGAATTATTTTAAGAGTTTCACATTTCTCTTGCCTACCACACTATGAAACCCTGGAAGGAAGGATACGCCCTGTTCTTCTCTTATCCCCTCACCACATAACACATTATAGATAATGGATAAATGCTTACTAGATTAAACTGAACCATAAGACTTGTCTAGTTTATAATCTTAGAAGACTACATGATTGGATGAACTCTCTCTATTATAGAGATACAATTTGAGGTACAATCACTGATAAACCAAGATAGCAAATAATTTCTTTGCTAATATGGAAGAAAGAACATGAGATACATCGATACCACATTTCAAATGAAACATTAAAAAAAAAAAAGGTTAATACATCCCTTATAAGTTATCAGCTCTATCCTGTATTCTGAGAGGCTTTCAGAAAAATTTCACAACATCCCCTAACTTTTATTTTTGTAAGGAATGGAGAGTGGTGAGGTTTCTGTCCAGAACACTGCAAATTTAGGACCTACTGATGCAGGACCACTGCCATGCAGATGGACAGGAAGGCCAAGAACCATGGGTTTGAGGTTTCTTTTAATTTTTTTTTAAGATTTTTGTTTATTTATTTGAGAGAGAGAGACAAGTGGGGGAGGGAGAGGGAGAAGCCGACTCCCCACTGAGCAGGGAGCCCAATGCGGGACTCAATCCCAGGACCCAAGGATCATGACCTGAGCAGAAGGCAGACACTTAACCGAATGAGCCTCCCAGGAGCCCCCTTTTTTTTTTTTTTAAAGATTCTTGTTTCTTTTTTTTTTTTTAAAGATTTTATTTATTTATTTGAGAGAGAGAATGAGATAGAGAGAGCGAGCACATGAGAGGGGGGAGGGTCAGAGGGAGAAGCAGACTCCCCGCTGAGCAGGGAGCCCGATGCAGGACTCGATCCCGGGACTCCAGGATCATGACCTGAGCCGAAGGCAGTCGCTTAACCAACTGAGCCACCCAGGCGCCCCAAAGATTCTTGTTTCTTGTGCAAGCAGTTGAAGAGGGAACCCTGCGTGTTCTGGGGTGTCGCTATTCAAGACAGAGTATAAGTGCAGGAGATGCGAAAAGCCTGTGTGGGGACTCTGACCTGCTTTAGGTCTTCACATTTATGAAACCTGAAGAGCAGAAACTTTTCCTTCTGTTACAATAAAAAAAAAATGAATAATAATGTTAAAATTAGTTACTAGCAGTATGTTCAAGATGGACTATAGCCATATGTTCTTATTTAAACTAAGCAACAGGTAAAGTATTTAACATTTTTTAATGAAATGGTTTATTGTGGGTATCCTACTGCTCTGTGGAAAGCTGTGTAACTGTTGCCCTTCTTGTCAGAAAATGGGACTTTTCTCTCCCCGGTATGTGCCTTAAGAAGCGTGTTGGTCACTCAGTACATTAAACATACAATAATTTCCTTTGTTAAAAGTCATTTTTAGAAGATTTCTGCTTCCGGGAATATGGAACACATAGTTTTCTCCAGTCCTCCAATGGGTGCTATGAGAAACCAAGACATTATATATAAAATCAACACAAAAAGATGCTGAAAGGTGAAGAGAATGATAACCTGACACCCTGTTTCAAGACCCACCTGGGCAGTGTTGCTTTGTCCATAGCCAACACTGTTTCGCTTTGTATAAATAATGCATTTGGGAAGTGTCTCATCGTCAGAGAGCCCACGGGTCTGTGTTTCCCCATGGACTGCTTGTTGCCCCTCTCCCTGATAATCTTGAGCTAAGGAAAAAACACTTCAACAGCACCCAAGTGATGGTCCAATTACGGTAGGTAAGAGCATCACCGTGTGACCAGATCTCTGGTCTATTCTGGGCTGAGTAATCTCAGAATATAAGTTCAAAGAAATTTCAAAAAAGTCCCAGAGCAATGAATTCGTCCTCCAGTTCTTAACAACAACTAACACTTACTGAGCACCAGCTGGGCACCAGCATTCTTCTCCAGCTTTTAAATAGATCAACACACTTAATTTACACACATGAATTGGAGTCACCCTTTTTATTTGGGAAACTGAGGCACAGAATGGTTGCATAACTCACTCAAAGTCATAGAGGAAGTGGACGAACCAGGATCTAGATCTTAGTAACCAACCTCTAGACGTCTCTGGCTTTGGAGACAAAAATGCTTAACATGGTAATAGTAACCACTTGATAAGAAAAGCTCTAATATTTTGCTTGCTTATTTAACTAAAGTTTATACTATACTTCCAGCCAGTACTCCAGACCATGATTGCCTTTGAAAATAAAATAACTAACTGGATGAATGAAAGAATGAATGAACAAAGATAAAATTTACAGGTCATGCACAGAAATAACTTGCAATTCTCCATTTGCCTTCACAAATCTCTCTGAAGGCACAGCCACTTACAAGTGACATTATCCACGTCAAAAGAAAAAATACTCTGAAAGTTCATTTACAAAGATGACACATAAATGCTATCAAAGTTATTATCAAAGTTCATTTGTTTTGTGACAAATTTTTACCAAATAATAAATCACTATTAATCTGTTTAGAAAGATATTATCAAAGTTCATTTAAGTGGATAGCATTTGTTCCCTGAGTAATTAAGTATGTGTGTCCTTTTATGATGTAATGTTTCAAAGCCGACCATTTGCTGCTGATACAAATTGACAGGATTGAGAGGTGATTTGTGGGAGAATCATTACAAATGTTGCACTGAAGAAACTAAATATGTTTCTACTGTGTAAGAACTATTAGTGAAGGGACGCCTGGGTGGCTCAGTCGGTTAAGCTTCTGCCTTCAGCTCAGGTCATGATCTCAGGGCCCTGGGGGGGGAGGGGGGATGTCTGCTTCTCCTTCTGCTCCTCCCCCTGCTTGTGCTCTTTCTCGCTCTCTCTCAACTAAAGAAAAATAAAATCTTTAAAAAAATAAAAGTTGTGCTAAAACATCACTACATACTAGAATCTGGAATAAGGTTGGTCCCTTTGAACCACCCAGGGCCACACACTTGATAAATTATCCCAGGCTTTGGAGTCAGACAGTCCTGGATTCAAATCCTACTTACTAGCTATGTGACCTTGATCCAGTCATGAGTTCTCAGAGCGTCCTTTTGCTCACCTATAACGTAGGCAATAGTTACACACACTTCACAATACTATTGGGGGTAATAAATGAGCTAACAAGTGTTCAGCACCTAACACAGCAGCTCACACATATTAGGCACCCCATACATAGTCCTTCTCCCTTCTCTCCTCCCCATGCAAGCAAGCCGACACATTTACCAGGATAATAAAATCAAGTCCACCTGAGGGCATTCACCAATAAGGGACTCCGCTGACATGACCTCAGATGACAGCAGTATCTGGAAGTTGTACTTGCGATGGTTCATCATACACTTGGCATTCCTAAATACAGGAGAAGAGAAGGTTAACCTTGACCTTCTAGCTACTCTTTAAAAAACATACCTTTAAAATCATGTGATTAACCGCTTGTTTCCATAGATTATAGCATAAAAATTGCAGAAACAGTAGTTAAAATACAGGTTTTCTTCTGTTTCGCGCTTTTTTTTTTTTTTTAATCTTATGTTCTTAAAAAGACTGCTATAACCATACAGCAAACCTAGTGGCAGCACAGCGGGTTTCTGTAGTTCTCTGGAGCTACAGGTAATAATGAGGCTCTCAGACTTCACTTCCCTCCCGGGCTGGTGTGTGAGGGCGGTAAGGCCAGGGAATGTGGCTCAGCTCTGCGGTCGGTGGTTGCTCGGGTAAGAGCAAAGCAGAGAAAACAGAAACCTAGAAGCAGGACCATGCTTTTCACAAACCAAGGCTGCAAGCCGAGCAGCGCTGGTGCCGGACGCTCGTGCAGAGGTACCGTAGAGAGGTGATTATCTCACACCCTCCTCCCTTCGAGAAAGACACATCTGGCAATGTGGTTTCTGATAAGCAAGAAGGAAACCAGGGTCACTAGTAGCCTGCTGCCTGTTCTACACTGTGTGCACATCTGATGTGCCCCTTAGTGAGCCTCCGAAGCTCTAACAAGCTCCATCTGTTTCTGTTCGTGGCTGTCTCTCCCCGCATCTCATGCTGCTCACACTTGTGCTCAGAAACAGTTCGCTTCTTATGGCCATGCCTCTCATACAGAAGCCAGGGATCGTGTCTCAAGCCTGACGGGTGGAAACAGAACTTGAACTGAGATCGGATCATTGTGGCGGCTCTCCATCCTTGGTCCAAGTCTATCCCACTCTGAATGAACTCTAGTGAGACAGCACAGAGGACCCCTCTCCTGCCATCCCAACCAGCCACTAGCATTTTGCCATTATCCCTGGATGGTGTCTCTCTCAGTCCTTCTCTCCTGGCTCTGTTGGCTCAGCAAGTGCAGAGAACCATGATGGTTTCTTTATCTCCCCTCAACCAAGTGGTCCTCCAGCTTTCATCCCCAGGAAATTTTTCTCCTTTATCCATCATGAAATTCAGCATGAACAGATTCAAATCTCCAGCTTTGAATTCCAAATTAGAGCTCTGAAAGCTCTGACTTTTCATTTTAAAAGCCAGGTATTTGTGAGAAAGAATGTTGGGAGGGAAGGGGCTGATGGGGGTGGATTTCAAGCTTGAATACCAAGAGCGAGGCTGAGAGACTCTAGGTGTAACATTAAGCCAGAGAAAGGGGAAAGGATGTGTGCTGATTT